GCGGCTTGTTTGGTGATATCAGTTTGCTCCCTTGATGTCCACCTCCATTCTGTTTGGATTGCGAATTTTTAGCGGTCTTCGAAGGTAGATGACAACCTAAGAGACATTGCTGAAGTACTTTGTTGCTCACGAAAAAAACGGCCCAATCAGGTTTGATTTCTCAATGGCAATACTTATGTCCACACATTTGCCAATCAACAAACTCCTAGATAAGACAAGAGGAGACAACTACGTGAATCGTTATCAGTGGAATTTAACCTTCTGTCACCTCGCAGACATCACGACTTGGATGCCAGCTACCGAGTTATTATCGGGCCAATCAGGAATATTTGTGCCTGTTGTGGCGTAAATTCTATAAGATCAGCCCTTGATTAGGGCATAAAGAAATGCCGATTATTCGTAAATTTAAAGACGCTGGGGTTTTCCACATTCTTATGGCAGGACGCTACCTACTATGTCCGGAGGCCGACGGTCTAACCTCACAAAAAGTGGTGTCAAGTAACTGTAGCAACTCCCTGCATTCCATAGCACGTCGTCTTTGAGCGATTTCTCTGTGCATTGGCTCTAAGCAGGAATGCCTATCGGAAATTTGATGGATTCAGTGTGTACATATCCCATTTTTATTTATCAAAGGGGCTGCTCCCCACTATAAACAAAGTTCGCAGGCGGTGGGCCTGTCGTTTACAGCACGGTTTACGTGTTGCGCTGTTTGAGGACTCAACTTTAGGCTTTCTTTGTGAGAAAACTCTTCAAACATTCCATTTTAGGGAAGCTCAGAAAAGACCGAAAGTCCAACTTCTCTTCCGCAATCCGCCGCACTTCCGCCCCGACCCGGCGGTGTGGAATCTCGCAAACACTTTGTTTCCTCCTCCTCCTCCTCCGCCGCCTCAAATGCAGACTGTCCCGAACCCCGTTGCGAGGCCGACAACAAGTCCGATACAGAGGATGACTTTGAACTGATTGAGGTCAATGGCAAGCGGTATCGACGCCACTTCCGGCGGCACATTATTCTACAGCGTCACAAGTGCCGTCAGGTAAGAGTCACCCAATCTGAGGCCAGAGGAATTAGCCGCTGCTGCTGTTGTTAACTTTTCCTGCAATCTAAAACTAGTGCTGTGCTGTCCCGCTTCGCACGGACATCGGTTTTTATTTTTCGCCCCCTTTTGCTTGCACTAGCGTATTTTGAACCCTGATGATAATCGAGGGCGCAGTCGGCCCCGTGAGGAACGGCACGAATAAATTACATCTTTGTTGCTTTACTTACTATAAGGGCGCGCACTGTCACAGGGTGGGGGCGGGGACCGATCGGTCCAGTCCATTCTACCGTCACGAAAACTAGACTTTCTCTTTGCAAAAAGGGCTTGCGTGCAGGCTAAACAAGAATCCATGCCGCGGTCGTGGGGCACTACTACCTCGGAAAGCGGCAGCTTAAGCATTTACCTTCAGCATTATATTCATCAACCGGAGGCTGTGTTCTAGGTAACGTCTTTTATTTCAATAAAACCTTTGTAGATTAATGCAAAAACTGTGAAAAAAGAACAGGCAAATAATCAGGGCCTGTTCGTGAGGCGGACGCACAGTCTATCCTTCCTACAGGCGCTGAAGTCATTGTACATTATTACTTGGCTTCGAATAAATAGTAGGCGTTGCTATAATGCACCGTGTGAGCTAATTATTAGTTGACTTACGATACCGAGAGAAAGTCAAGACAAAAAACCCCAACAAAGGGAAGCAGGAAAATTGAGGAAAAGGAAAACTTTAGGCTACTCAACGTTCCTTCTGTTAGGAGCCAGATAGCGGACGACTAGCATACAACAGCGAGCCGCGCTCATGGCAGGCTATCGGTCGGCCTACAGGTGGCGAACGCATGCTGGTAGTGAATCAATCAATAATTCAAAATTTAAGCTGCAGTTAGCCGTTGAGTAACAAGCCAATCATACCGCTAGCCAAGCCAGGACAGAAGCTGATTGGCTCGATGGAGCTACCTTACACTCGTCTGTCGCCCTAAATATATGTTGTACCGTTTACACCCAAAGACTTCTGCTTTTGCCCTCATCTCGTCCTGTTGTTCCTTGGGGGACTCATACGAGGCGTAATTGGGCATTGACATCTCGGCTATGGCTACCGTTACAACATCTTCTTTATGTTAACCATCGACAGCATTAGGTATAGGGGTACATGAGAGAGTTTAATCGTCATTTATAAGGACATACATTTTGCACCCCGCAGCCGGGTGGTAGCGGGGAC